CAGCTTAGCCATTCGGTACGATTTAACCCTTTTAGAGATTACTACAGTTACATTCAAAATGAAGGGAACATCTTTTAAAAAACAGTGTGTGGGACTATTGTCTATCTCTGGCAGCAGAGGCTCGCTGGTTTCAAGGAGGGGCATTGAAAACCATTCTCTGGCTGGTGGAAAATGGGGCAACTTGTTCCAGGCTACTTGCCCAACTGGGCCTCTTCAGCCAGCCTGCTTCCCTGCTGATCTGCTGAAAGAAGCTAACCAATCACCTGATTCCAAGTACCTACCAATCTTCTGCAGACTGGGAAGGGGGAGATATCACTGTGTCCCTTTTCCCCTGAAAGAAAAAGAAACATGGCTGGCCATCGTTTCTACCATCGTTCTTTTTTTTCCTCTGGAAGAAGGAATCTGTGACGAGAGTCCAAATGAATTTGAATTTTGACCTGAACTTTGACATCCACACTTGACTCCTGTTAGTTATGAGTCTATCTTTGCATGCTTTTCTTGACAAAAAATGCAGCAGTGTTTCATTACTACCTTCTCCTGCATGAGATATGGATTCACACCATTGGAGTAGGTTGATCAGCTGGAGAATTAACCTCTTTGAGTCTCAGGACAATCTTAATCCAATACTTGTCACTGCTTGCACAACAGTCTAGATTCCTAGTCTAGCCCACAGCTCTGTTTCCCCCCCCACCTTATGGTCTCCTATTCAAGTACTAACCCGAATTTGAATGTAAACCTTACTGTTGTAAATGGCTTCCTAGTCTCCAGAGTCACTTTAGCCACCACTGCTGTGCTTTGCAGCCAACCGGGTAGCAATCTTTATTTGTTCTGTCCTTTCCAGATGTAGTATTGGGCTAACATGCAAGCTGAACACTAAGTAAATGCTGAAATCCTTCAGCAGAACTGTGACTCTATGGAGAATGTCTGCAGGGTATGAAAACATTTTTCTTTGGTTAGAAAATATTCCATAATTGCTTCTTGGACGCTCTAACTGCATTTTACGCCTGGCTTCAAAACAGCAAAAGTTCACCCACTACCTTTCTTCATAATGTTACCAGTTTCAACAGAATCCTAGATGAAGTCTGGAAGGCATTTGATGTAACACCCAGTCCAGCAGTGATTGTCAATACAAAACTCCAGGCATATGTACTTAAAGGCTCCTACTTTTCTTTCAAGGGCTTTGCAGATCCCCTGGGTAAGATGACTTTTTATCCTGGCTGCGCTTTGGAGATTTGTTTTTTTTTTTTGCCCAACATTGTAGATCCAAATAGTTGAATCTAAGCTAAGAAAGACCAGCTCTTGTTAGTGCTTGCGTGCGCAAATCCCAAGGAAATAGAATAGAATAGAATAGAATAGCATTCTTTATTGGCCAAGTGTGATTGGACACACAAGGAATTTGTCTTTGTGCATGTGCTCTCAGTATACATAAAAGAAAAGATATATTCGTCAAGAGTCAAGAATCATCAGGTACAACACTTAATAACAGTCGTGGGGTACAAAACTGACAGATCAGAAAAATCAAACATAAATCTTGAAAGAAGGGGGTTGAAAAATCAAGGAAAAGGTGTCGATTGTATCTGTAAAAACGTCACAGACTTCAGTTTAGGCCAATCTGGTTGAAATAGGTCAACCCCCACCCCCTCCAACCACCCCCACTCCAATGTGGCTATACTTTCAAAGATAGATGACAAACAGAAATCCAAAATGCTTCCTATCAACTGAATGGACTGTTGTAAAGGGCCTAAGGGGATTCTCTAATTGAAACCCAGTCTCAATACCGAAGGAACTTGGAACAGATTCGTGGATCATGCAGAACCGAAACAGAGGTTGCTTCTTTTTAGTTTAATAGGGTGCTTAAATCCAGCCATTGTTTCATCACACTTGTGCCAGAAGCATTGAGGGGCTCCCATGTTGAAAGGATTAGCCAGTGACATCACCAGGATGCCCAGTTGAGGGCTTCTTTCATGTCCCCAACATGAAACCTGGAGCGAAAGACAGGAGCTCACCCATCTTACAGTAGCACTCAGATGTCAAATGTGGGCTTGCTTAACCTCCAAGCCAATGTCTTAAATACATGAAACACCACGCTCCTCTCCAGCCATTAAGGCTTGTAAAGTATGGTCTATAATTCACAATATACAATCACAGCAAACTGTTTCTTTCAGCAAACCAAGATAGAGCAAGCCATGGGTTAACATACTATGTATGTGAATGCAAAGTTGGAATCAACTCTGCAGTTCTGAGTTACTCTGGATATGTGGGGCTCATTCCCATTAAAAGGTTTGTAAGGGAAGGCTGCAGTTTTACTGAGCAACCTTTTACTTTACTAGCATGAATCGAAGCACCTCTGCATCTCTGTTCTTTGTAGGGGTTGAACTTTTTCAACCTCAGTAAACTTCATGCTCAGATTACGTTGATTATTGCTAGGGTTACCAGATAGCTAAGGAAGATACAAAAAATGAAAAAAAGGCCAAATGAAGGCAAAGGGGAAGAAAGACACACCAGCACTTTCCTGGCTTCTACAACAAAAATTACAACAAAAAGCTGCAAACAGAGTACTTAGGTTCACATATATAAAATTACTTTTTCCAGCATCAGAAAGATGGGTTTTTTTTATCACAATATCTTTATTTTCAAGAACATATACTAGTGATAATACAGAATTGACAATACTCTCCCAATTTCACCATAGAAATGATGAGTCATTGATCTACAGATTAGATTACAGGAATCATAGATTTGAAAGAGTGGATCGAGATTAATTGCTGGGATCAAGAAATAAATGTAGATAGTCCTCACTGACTAACACAATTGGGGCCAGCAACCCTGTAGCTACACAATGGAGTTGTAAAATGAAATGTCACATGGCTATGCCCTTGACAATTGAAAGCTAGCAGTGAATCTTGCAAATGGAAACCATGTGATTGTGGGACACTGTGACCATGTTAAATGCACATTGGTTGCCAAGCATCTGCGTCACAATTGTGTCACCACAGGGATACTGCAAGGGTGGTAAGTGCAAGCACCAGTCTCCTTTCCCAGTGCCATCATAACTTTAAATGGTCACTGAATGAATGGTTTGTAAGCAAGGACTACCTGGAATATAAATTTAGGCAGTCAAGTCTGTCGACAGACAAGGAAAAGAAAGAAGCAGACAATTTACAAGGTCATGATATATGAAAGTTTGAATGACTACTGTTGTGAAAACAATCTAAATTTTTAAAGAAAACCATTTAAAAAGCCAGGCAATATTTGATTTTAAGATTATGCCTGCTAGACACAGGACAAAAATGAGGACACACCACTCTTTTGGTGGTCGTGTAATGATCATAACAATAGCTCTTCTTTGATGCTCAGTGCATTCTGGTTTCTTCTCATTAGACTTCTCTAATGTTTGGTTTCCATAACATTTCCATAAACCGTAATTATGCTTTGTTTGTGGGAGGGTTCCTTAAAAAAAACAAAACACCCCACTGTTCTTTGAATTTGGCTGGCTGACTGCATGACTCCAGCTGTTGTGGTTTAATATATGACTCAGTTCAGAGTGTGAACCCAAACGCCAAGCCTTGATTAAGCAACCCATAACTTAGCAAGATATCCAACCGAGGTCTCTCATTATAACGCATCAAAAAGGTTGTGTGCCAATGTTCCATCTCTTGCCAGTCTCAATCCTATGAAACCGCAGAAGGCTTCACTTCCAGGAATCCAAGCAGATCTTCCCTGTCATCTTTTCCTATTTCTCTCCCAACATTCATCCAGCTACTACTTAACCAATTCAGTTGCATAAATCAATCCATGGGGTTGAGCCTAGAAGCAAATCAATCCGATTTTAATCAAGCGTCTTCCCATTTGTATCATGTTATCGGTCATAATTGTTTCTTGCTTTATAGAACAGGACAGAATAGGATAGACTAAACTAGAATTCTGTATTGGCCAAGTGTGATTAGACACACAAGCTACGTAAGCTCTCAATGTACATACAACAGTAGTGATAAGCAACCAAATTATAGTCATAAGAAGATAACACTGTCAAACTATTTAGTAAGATTGTATTACTGTTATTCTTCTCATCCTTCCTATTCCCTATCTCTTCCAACTTATGACTATAACTTTGCTCCTTGTATCTTTACAATGTATATTGTTTAGTTGTTCTCTAGTATGATTTGACTGCTTATTAGTAAACCCATGATTATCACTAAGTGTTATGATTCTTGATGAATGTATTTTATTTTTTCTTATGTACACTGAGAGCTTATGCATCAAAGACAAATTCCTTGTGTGTCCAACCACACTTGGCCAATAAAGAATTCTATTCTATTCTATTCTATTCTATTCTATTCTATTCTATTCTATTC